TAATTGCAGAAATCATGTCGCTATTAACATTTTGATTAAAGAAAAATTTTGCTGAATTACATTTTGGGGGCTGAAATGTAAAACATAAAACGTATGCTGTTGAAAATTTTCTTTTGGGAGACCTAGTTGCGCTGAATTAGGTTTCAATAGCAAATTTTTAAGCTGAATTAATTGACTATATAGGCTTTTGAAATATTCCTCCCTACAAATAAAATTTGAGCTTATTATAAGCGCCGAACGTATTGTTTAAAACTGGATGTGCTGAATTGCTTTTCAGATGCGTTAAATAGAACAAATACGATATTTTAGTGATTTTATAGAAGTATTTTGCTTAAAAAAGTAGATTACCAGTTGATTGTTTTAAGTTAAAGAACTAATACAAAGAAAACAGAAGGTCAGTTGTGCTCATTTTGAAAAGAAATGCTTAGTGAAATGTGCTGAATAATATGGTCTTAAAGAGTTTAGTTTTCATCGCGCTGAATTGGTTTGAGCAAGGCTAAGCTCAATTTGGTTGCAAAAACACTCCAAATGATCCTGAATACTGCTGATCAGTGAGTAGTTGAATGCAATAATTGTATCTATGAAAACTAAAAATGGACTGTAATAAACTTGAAAGTAATGAATATGAAAATATTATTTCTAAAGTTGCTGGAAACGGGTTTGCTAAGCTGAATTTCTTTTAAATTAAATAAACTGGTATGAAAAATCCGTCCCGAACTCACTTTTACAGAAACAATTTGCTTATAATATTTATTATTCTTTTTAACCCCACTGACTTCGATCCATTAAATACCGTTTTCTTTCGAATATAGCTGATTAAAGTTTTATAGAGTTGGTTTCATTACAACTATTTCAAAAAAAAAATAATATTCTGAAATTGTTATAAAAATCAAAACAATTGCGAGTTCCGCTTCAAAGCGCCTGAATAATATTCTAGGAAACTGAATTACTATTTCCGCTTACATTTTTACATACTGTTGAAAAGATTTGCATAATCGGATGCAGTTTTGAACTATTTCCATTTTAATAATTACCAAAGGTCTCCGCATAGCACATAGCGAAATATTTGCACACAAAAACTACTTTATTGCATACTTAGCGGCGTTTATGAACCACCAATGACATAAAAACAGGCAACTGAAACGACATTAACAACTCGCAACTAATAAAACAATGGTGAATATGAAAAACGTGAAGAGAAGTTGCGGCAGAAAACAAATCACAAAAATGCGATGCAACAATAAAAGAGCTGTCAAATAAAATTTCTGTTTGTTTTCAACAACTCAACAAAATTATGATTCGTGTTACGATGTTACGATGGTCATGGGTAAAAGGGAGTAATATAATTAAAAGTAGCGAGGCCAAAAATAATTGAAAATCAGGAATAACCGGCAAAGAATAAAATAAAATAAAAAAATGAAATAAAAAAGAATTGAATTTAAACAAAATAAAAAAAAAAAAATAAATAAAATAAAATAATATAAAAAAAAATAAAAAAAAAAAAAATAAAATAAAATAAAATAAAATAAAATAAAATAAAATAAAATAAAATAAAATAAAATAAAATAAAATAAAATAAAATAAAATAAAATAAAAAAAAATAAATAAAAAAAAAAAATAAAATATCATAAAATTAAATAATTTGTATCAAATTAAGCTTATTTAAATAACATAAAATAAAAGCGAATTCAATTAAACCAAATTTAGTTAAAAAAGCTTTAGTTAAATAGTAACAAATCCATTAGAATCAAAAAAAATTTTTGGCTGAGCTCCTTCATCAATTTGTGGTTTTGCATATTGATGTTTTTTCAAAAAATGGAGCGACCTACAGTTTATACTAAGCCGCCTCCGAAAGGGTGAATATACTCGTAGGGGTGAAAATCCTTGCCAAGAGACAACCGCAATTAAAATATTTAGCTAAATTTTTTTAAAAAAAATTGCAAAAAAATTTAAGTTAATTTTCTATAACTTTAACCATTTAAGTACGGCAACAGGCTTTGAACCCGAGCCTTCCGAATGGCAGTACGCAATGCTCACCACCCAGCTACGGTGGCTTTTTGTTTTGTTAGGGTTTGATAGTTCAGCGATAAGTTCGATTGCACCCAAAAAGCCAAAAAGTTTACAATAATAATATTTTGCACATAAAAGTTGGCAACTCAACTCAATAGGCAACTCATAGCGAATTGTCGAATGTTGAATGCGTGTATGCACATGTAGGAAATAATAATAGCGCAGGCAACCAACATTGGTTTTACTGTTGTTTACCTTTGTGCCTTTTTGCCAATTCGGCAGTTGGCACGGCAAGTTTTTATACTTTTCTCCTCTTTTTCGATGTATTTTTTCAGGTTTCCTTTGTTTTTTGTGTAATTTTATGCCTTTTGTAATTGTAATGACTTCATACCGCATATGTCACTAGCTGTACAATTCAATAATTATAACACACAGTGGTAGCAAAAAGTAGGTAGCTGGTGCTGCAAGGGCTTCGTGCCATAAATGTCGCTATGTATGTATATAGTAACTGCTGACAGGAAAATTACATCGTTTTTGTAATTTCTGTCAAATTTTGTTGTTGGAATCTCTTTTATTATTGCATTTTTGTGTCAACACCTTTTATAGTTTACTTAAAAGCTCCTTGACGGGGGCTTACTAAAATTCAGTATGGAAAATTGTTGAAGAAATAAAGTTTTGGTAACCAAAAAATTAAAAACTTTTTAATGCATTTTATTTGATAAAAAATTGTAATAAATAGAAGTAAGAGACACAAAAAACATCAGAGCGTCAGTCACAAGCAAATTGAATTCACCTAAAAGCAATTGAGAGTGACGATAAAGGAGAAATTAAAGAGTAAAAGAAATCGTTAAAAATTAAAAACTTTTACTCAGTAAAACAAAAAAAATGTACAAAAGTTAATAAATGGCAACTGTATGCGCCTAGCGGTCGCAAACAAATGTGTCACTTTCTTTTTATCATATTTTCAGTCAACTTTAATCTATCACGCTGCATGACAATGGTCGATGTTGTGGAAATAAATAGTGTTGTAAAAAATTATAATTGCTTTATAGTCTACACTGAAAAATCTTAAAAAAAAATTGTGTGGAATAAAATAAAAAACTTTAAATTGAAAATATTACAGTTAACATAAATTATTATTCCACACGTTTCGGCAAAATTTTTTTTTATTTAATTTTAACTCTCTTATGAATAATAATGAAAGTAAAAATGGAAATATAATAAGTTTGTCATAAAATTTTCCATATTAATTGCTCCTCAAATGAAATTATTTGAACTGCTTTTTCCGTTTTTTTAAAAAAAAGTTGCATAATTTTAGGCATAAAGTGTTAATGTCATTTACAGCGATTTAATATTTCAGAGTCTATGCCTGAAACGTTTTTTTTAGTTGTAAAGAGAAGCATATGAAAATATTGAAGTATTTTAAGATTATTGTCAATGACTAAAAATAAGCATGTAAACATTTTCAAAACATGAGTAGAATTATACAGGATTTCATACCAAAATAACCATAAATACGATTTTACCGCAAAAATTCTACTATGTACCTAATTTCAAGTAAATTGAAATATGAATACGATTTTTTTCTTGTAAATTGGCTTATGGTCTAGAACTAAGAGTGAACAACAGTCTTCTAGCCAAAATAAGCAAAAGCCCATCAATAAGATGTATTCTAAGTAAAACGAAAATTGTATCAGAACCCGAGCTAAACGTGAAATGCGACCGTGAACGGAAAAATTCTACCTAGTGAATACCACTATTCTTTCGCTAGCAGGAGAGAATGGATGGTGGGCGGATTCATCTAAAACACTCAAGATATTCATATCTATACTGCTGGGTGTAAAAGTAAGCGAGACACCAAGACAGCTTCAAACTCTATCTTCCACGCAAAGATTGTGGGCATTAAACAAATTGCTAACTAGGCAACCGAAATTGAGGCCAATGAAGTCCAAATTGGGCTGAGAGAGAATATCTCACACGTACTTAGAAGGCAATAAAAAGACGAATAGCTGATTCACGCTGGTACCGCGAGCAATGTTATAACTATTGACTGCCTCATACCTTTCAGCACCTTCAAGTGTATCTAACGCTGTGGACCATGAAGGAAATAGCTCGTTATGTTAGCCCAAAGTTTCGTAGTATTGACAATACAACTACTGACATGGGCCAATGCAATGCCACCAAGCTGAGCTGAGCTATAGATAATTTCGTTTACTTTGGAACCAATGTGAAGACTAACAATAATGTCAATCTTAATATCCAGTAAAGACCCACTTCTTCCAACAGGTGCTAACTTGGTCAAGTCGCAAATCATTCCTGTTGTGCTATATGGAACTGAGGTATGGGCGATTAAGAGATGAGATTAATGAACCTTTGTGGATTGATTGAAGAATGAAAACAATGGAAAATTATATATGTAAAAACACGTTGGAAAACTTCCTCTGCTTCTGGTCGGGCTTTATAGGGGTCATCTCGTCCAACTAGAAGCCACGTTGTTCAAAGGACTAGAGGAAGTTTTAAAACTGATTATTGACGCTCTCTTAGATTGGGCAAAATACTCACCCAACGAGTACTGCCAATGAAACTTTACTTATGATAGCTTGCGAACCATATTTTTCTTCCTTACTTTGGCCTACATTTCGCTGAAGTTTGGAACAAAAAATCAAGGAGTGTTAGATTTTGGGCATTAAAAAAATTAATTCATCTGGAGGAAAATCTGGAAAATTTTATTAATCTTGCCCTACACTTTAGCGAATCTTGAAACTTTATTATAGTTTGGCCTACATTTTGGTAAATTTGGCCTGCCTTTTAGTTTAGTATTGGCGCAGCCGTCAGTGGGGTGTGAAAAATTATAAGAATTTTGGCTTTCCTCAGTCTCATAAAGTTAGTAAACTGTGTCGTCAACTTTGAGAATCGTAATTTTCTTAATGTAGCACCCATTTTTTATTAGCACCATTGAAATGGAAGACACAGTTTTCTTCCCAACTCACCTGTCCATTTTTGTACCACGTACTCGACGCTATATCCAAGTCCACCTCACACATCAGTCGTATCTCTGAATGTTGTTCAGCATACACCACGGACATTTCCTCATCCTCATAAGGATTGGGCAGCACTGGACGCAGTGGCAGCATACGTGGCTCGATTGGCTCATCATGAGAGTAATCCTCACTCTTATCATCCACTGTGGCTATAGCAGTCAGATCGTGTTCGCGATCGGTGCCACTATCAAATTCCTCCACATCATCGATTATGATAATCGGTTCCTTCGGTTTACGCAGCACTCCGGCGGGCACGCTAACACTAACAGCCGAACGTGCGCGTTTCGACTTTAGCGCCACATATTGAATGGGCTTAGCAACATCTTCCACGGAATATGTCTGATGTGTTGCGGTGGTGTTGAGATAGATGTTGCTGTGTGGCAAAACTGCAGCGGGTGAAGAAAAACTAAAATCCTCGAGCGAAGAAGTGCTGAGTGCAGAAGAAGCGGCGGTGGAAGAGGATGAGGGCGAAGAAGAGGAGGAGGAGGCGGACGAAGAAGCAACCGCGGCGGATGTAGATACAGCGACGTCATCTGTGTCGGCAGATGGCAGTGAGTTGCCGTCTTGTCTGCCCGGCACTGCCTGTTGAGCTTGTTGCGTTGTAGTGCTTGCAGCGCGCTCACTGCTACTCTCACTAATTGCGCGTCGCGCTAAATGCACACGCTCATCACTGTCATCCTCATCGTCCAGCAGCTCGGTGCTGAGGCTTTCCTGCTGCTCGTTGCCATCAAAATTGAGCGGCGGCAGTAGGAAGATGGCATCGTTGGAGCGTCGTAGCCGACGTTTTATGGCAGCGCTGGTTTCATGCGCCCAACGCAGATTTTGCGCACTTTCGCGTGCTTGTCGCGATCCCGCATCCGCTACCGCCGCGCGGTGGCGTCTCACCTCTTTGTGTTGATTTCGGTGAGCAGTGTGTACTTTCTGTTGTTGTGACTTCAAAAGCTTTGACCACTTGGCTTTTGCGGTCGTCGTTGTGGATTGCTTCCATACGTTTGCGCTCCCTTTTTGCTCTCGCGAGTGGGTTGCAGTTTCTGCAGAGTGCGTATGTGCTGAGAGCTTTTCACGTACGCTCAGTGTCGAGGGCGTTTCAGCAGCTTTCCCGTAACGCGCGCGCAATGAAGGCAATACGAATGGTTGCTGTTGCTTTTGTTTTTGTTTATAACTGTTATTTGATTTTGTTGCTTGGCCAACACTATGTGCATTCTTTGCATCCGCATGTGCTGTTCGAGTTTGAGCATTACTCGTGGCGAAAGAAGAAGTGGTGTAGGAGGAGGACGAGAAGGATGAGTGTTGTGCGCCTGCGGCGTTTCCGCTAGCGTCGGCAGCACAATTTAATTTGGCACATTTTTGTTGTATTTGTATTTGTTGCTCATCAGCAGTACGCCGCATCTCAGGCAGCTTATTGTCAGCTACCTGCTGCCATTCTGCACTTTCGCTGCTCGTCACGCGCTGCGCCACAGACAAGCCTCGACCGTCGGCTGTTGCCAGTGCCGCGACGGCTTGACTGTCTCTGTTGGCATCTGTGGCGCTGTAGCGTTGCTGCTGCGGTATTTGTAGGTGGAAATTCTGTGGTTTGATAATATTTTGTTGATTGGTAATGAAAATGCCTGAAAGCAGAAGGAAAAAATGAAAATCTTAGAATAAATTTTGTACAGAAGATATGCATATATAAGTATATAATATTTAAAATTTATATTACCAAGTCTGTATTAGGCTTATACAATAACTCAGTTTTAGTTTGTTAAGGATATTGCCCTAAAATGGTGTACATACACTGGACATTGTTGTCGATATCAAAGGTACTTTTAGTATTGTCTTGCCAAAGATAGTCACGAATGAAGGTCAGGAAATGGAAATAGGAGCACACTTAGGGAAATTGAGGAAATCTCTCTTAGGAAACAGGATAAGGCAAAAAAGACCCTTCACAAGTTGGAGTTCTTTCTCAAATTTTTTGGTGGACGATACTAAGCAGCATAGGCTGTGAGCTGATAGCATATGTTGGGGATATCGCCTTCACCGTGATATGGAACACTCACATGTTTTATAGTAAAAAATTGTTGCAGAGTTTGCATTCATACAGACCGTACATAAATCTCTCAAAAACTGAAATCTTATTCTTCACCCGAAGGTATAAACCATATCTTATGTCGCCCTTGCTAAAAGATTGGTCTCAACGTCTTTTCCTCTACAAATGTGTTTTGCATCCCTCTTTAGCTCTCGGTATCTATACCAACCCGCGCCTGTTGTGGTTGATCGCACGGTTACTAAGTAGACGGGCGTTGTTTGATACACAAGGATGAGTACATTTCTTCGCTGTGACAAGATAGTGTTCCGAGTCGATGCTAGGAAATGTACGCACATCAAGAACACACCATACTTCAGGCGCTGATGACCTGTTGATCAGACCAGTTGATCAGCTTCAATTCGTTTGGGGATATCTCGTCTTCATGGCTACATAATCCGACATTTGTGTCGAAGATACCCTGTAGTTAAAATCTATTTTCATATCGTGGCGATGGCAGCACTCATAGATGAGTTCTAGGGGCACATAGTTCTTCTCACATTACATCGTCCTTTTCTGCGGTCGGGTCATATGCGCAAATTAGCGAAATTTTGAAAAAAAAAAAATGTTTTTGATACAGAATGTGACGAGACGTTCAACTATCGCACAGTACTCGGCGACGGAGACTCTCACCCACCACAAATCCGTAGATTTGAGCTACTTTATAAGAACCCATTCTCTCTCGTGGTTGTCTCCAGCAACGTCCCAATTAAGTGGCCAGATATTCTAGGTGCATGCCCTTAAATCGTGATCCTATAAACGTTTTCGGTGGTCCTCAGGGAAAGGATGGCCTCTCATTTAAGAATTTATGAGTTTTTTTTTATTGGAGTATATGTCAGCCGCGCCAGCCGAGTGGCTAGCATTGCGAGCAAGCATTCGGAAGAAAATGGGTTCCAAACCTCACTTTAGCTCACCTTCAACCGGATATTTTTTTGGCAACCCAGAGAATATTTGGTCTACTCCTAGGTGAATGGCAGTCCAAAAAATTTGCTCAGTTGCGTTAACTTCTACGTATGGGACCAAATTTTCTACATTTCCTTAAATCTCAAGCATTAAGTTGTTACTTTATTTAATATTAAAATATTTGCCCTTGATTTATTGCTTTCCTTGCAAACACAAATCGATATTAATGCAATAAATAAGCAGAAGTAAATACCAAAGCAACTGAAGCTACTCGCCAGAGAGTAGAAATGCGACATGGAGCTGCGAGTTGTCATTAGATGCTGCATAAACCGAAATCAGTAAGAAGAGGACTATATTACACAAACAATTTCAAGCAAGAAAGTTACACAAAACTCGGTATACTCGTATGAATATGTTCAGCTTTACAATTTTATTCAATATTTCCATAGCATGGCATAAAAGTGTTGTTGCTGTTCTCTCTGGTCTTCTCCTTTAATGTTTTTTTATTTTTTTTTTTTTGTAATTCCATAGCAAAGTTGCAAGGCCATTGCATGTCTCCATGTCTCCGTTGAATATTAATTACCATTTGAAAGCTTGTCATTTACATGGGTAAATACTATCAGTTGCAAGCATGCAAATACACAAATGACTACTTGCCATACGAGTACATACATACACACACTTATACACATAAGTATATGCAGCTATTACGTGCATATGCATGTAAAAATATATGTATGTAGTGCAAGTCAGCTGCATTTTTTGATTGTCTTGCAATAAAGTTTTCGCTTTTACTCTCGCTCACTAACAAACTTCAATAGCAAGTCTATCTAAATGTTCCATATGTCATTTATGCACAGTTGATTGTTGCTGTTGTTAGTAGCTGTTGTTATTATTGTTGTTTTTGTTATCACTACTTGCCATGCTATTAGCTTTGGGATTTCATTGCAGTCTCTAAAGCCCCATTCACACCATGCCTACTGCATAGATACGGCATTGGCGCCTGTTGGTATGCAACAAATTTGGTGTTTATGGATTTTATGCACAGCTGTACATCTATATACATACGGATATGAGATATGCGAGTGTATGAAATAATGACTGCAGTGTGGTAAATGTATGCGTGTGATTTTGTTAAAGACCAACTAGGGAATTGAAGGTATAATACCTAAGAGCCTACTAGTGAAATGGAGCAGAGAAATTATTTAATTGTAGGGGTATCGTTGTATGCGGAAAATATGTCATATATATTTTTAGTTTATGAATACAAAATATAAAGCCATAGCTCTCATACAATTATATTTTCAAAAACGTGCTTTCACTTCAAAACTTCAAAATTTTAGCAGCTAAAAACTTGGATTTTGGTATTTTTCAAAATATTTTCATAAGTAATATATTGGTAGAGAAATTGTTTGAATTTGTGCAACAAAAAATATTGCGTCCATATAATCAAACTTTCAAAAATATGTTTTTCTGGGTTAAAATATTTAAAATAAAGCAGTTAAGTTCATAAAATTTGGTGCCATAATTAGATATCATAGTTATAGTTTTTACAGTATATATTAAATGTAAGAAATAATATATAAATATAGTTTTTAAATATATTATTAAATTTTGAAAAATTTATTTTTAAAAGAAAATTGCCAAAAGATAACTAAAAATTCGCATTTTATATTTTCAAAAATTTTTTTGAATGTAGCACATTGACAGAGTATTTAAAAGTACAACTTCCTGATATTTAAATGTTCAGAAATGTACTGCTCAGTTATAATTTTCAAAAATAAATATAGATTTTGAAATTTGCCCTTCTATTCACAAAAAATTCGAAAAATTCAAGAGCTAAAAACTGGATTTTTTAGTATTTCGAGTTCTTATAAAAAAAAATATATACATTGACACTGAAAATTAGAGAAAGCTTGAAGTGAACATTTCAAAAATACGATTTTTGCTCAAAATTTTCCCACTTAACATCCTACGAATCCGTAATTGGGTAATTTAAATAGGTTTTAGGAGAAAAATATTTATTTTGAAAATAATTCAAGTTGGTCCTAAAAACATATTGCTGCCATACATACAACTGATTGTTCAAATAAGTTATTTTAAAAACGCATTTTCTAAATAAAATTTTCTAAAAGCGCAAAATTTACTGTGCTGTATAGATAGCACAGTGCGAATCTTGAAAAAACTCTAATGATGCATGTGACCCAATTTTGGACATTATTCTTTACATATTTTCTTTACAATATACTTGTATTCTATACTTTTTTCTTTTTTTTAAATTTAGTCATATTTTTAATTAATATCATTTTTTTTTTCTAATTTTAAAAAAAATTTTTACAAATTTTTCTCTTAATCCATCATCTGCCGCCATTTGGCTATCTTGTCTGCATTCTCTATACTATGCTATCTCTCTAGCCAAACTACATGAAATAGTAATGCGTATAATTTCCATTTGGTTTACGATTTGCACGCAGTCATGTCATTTTAGTGGTTATTTGATATATGAGCTGTCTATGCTTCACATGCATACAGATAAACATACAAATGTATTAATGAAGGCAAACACCCACTTAGTGCTCAGAAGAGTAGAAATGTGTAGTATTAATGCTCGTGCAAAATGTTATTTAGCGGTGTATAGGTTTCTTCATTAATGTATGCATGTATGTAAGTATATATATACCAATATTTGTTTTCCTATGTTTATTTAGCAAGTCTGCGTTGATTATTGATAAGTGTTTACTCTGGTTGCTATTATAGTTTGTTATTGCAATGTGCAAAATATATCGATAATGGCTTTCAATAATTTCAAGCAGATGACATATGTACATATGTATATGATATATCAACTTTAAATGTGACAATTCGTAATAATTCATAACTCAGATATGTACGTAAGCGCCTGTTTGTAGGCTTTTTTATTTTTTTTAATCAATTTCTCCTTTTATGTTACGTATAATTTTTAAATTTAGCAAGATATCATGTTTTTCAAAATAACAAAAATGTTTCATTACATTAAATGTTTAGCCACACTATATGTTAAGCCACATTATATGTTTCGCCATTTGTTTAGCCATATCTCAAGTTAAGCCGTATTTTATTCATTATATTAAATGCTAAGCAATATTATATGTGTCGCCATATTATATGTGCAGCCATATTAAATGTTTAGCTATATTTTATGTTTAGCAATATATGTTGTTCAGCATTGATTTCTAATTAATATTTTATGTTTTACCATATTGTGTGTTATACCATATTTTATGTTTAGCAATACTTTATGTCAAATCATATTAATGTTAAGCAACATTTAATATTATATTTAACAACGTTTTATGTATTCTGCAAATATTGAATATTTAAGTTATAATGAAAAATCTTTTTTGCTAAGCATCTATTATATTTTATGCCACCTTCTGCGATTAGATATATTTTTGGTATGTTTATTTCAATAGTTTTGGCCAGCAACAATGGGATTTTAGCAACTTTCAATATTTGGCAAGATACTGTGTTTACCAAAAATATACGCTTGGCTGTGTTTTTGTGTTTTAGGTATATTTTTGGCTTAGTAGTATTTAATGTTTAACAGTATGGCGAATTTAGCTATACTTTGTACTAAACAGCATTCCAGTTTTTTATTTACTT